GCCCGTTTCTATTCAATGGGGAGAAAAAGGGGGCATGCACAAAAACAAAAACAAAACTAAGTGCTATGATGTAATTCAACATTTTTTACATCCGAATTGACAAAATGAACTCAATCATCCAACAGCAGGTCAGGTTTGGATCAATTAAAACCTGGTGTGACAAGTATAATACGAGTACAGTGGTCCACTGGTTAGCATATCGGCCTCACAGTACAGAGGGGTGCAGGTTCGATTCCGGCCATGGCCCTCCGGTGTGGAGTTTGCATGTTCTCCCCGTGCCTGTACGGGTTTTCTCCGGGTACTCCGGTTTCCTCTCACATTCAAAAAACATGCATGACAGGTTTAAATTCTCCCGAGGTGTGATGGTGAGCGCAAATGTTTTGTTATTTGTTCAAATTTACAGTTTCAAACTAAATAGTGTGCCGCTATATACCAGTCAGCAATGATATTACACGTGTTGTAAATCCGTGTTTGACCCAAAAAGTTATTAACTCTACAAAATACATTTGAAAAAGTCCCGATGCAATGTAGGGATGTTTATTGTGTACTCTACCCAGTATAATCAAGGTGCTGCTGGAAAGTCCTTCTTGCGTGAAAGCACAGTTTGACACAGATTCTACCAATCGAGACCGAAAGATATACTGTATGTGATCAGTAGAGTCAGGGGGGAGCCGGGTGAACAATGTCCCAGCTGTACTACAAGAAGACGGACAGCTCCTCGTTCAGCGACCGCATCCCCCTGCGCATCGTGCGGTCCGAGTCGGAGCTCTCGGCCCTGGAGCGGGCCTACCTCGGGGCGGTGGGGAAGGGCGACTACGCCACGGTGAAGGAGGCCCTGGAGGAGGCCGAGATCTACTTCTGCATCAACATCGACTGCGTGGACTCGCTGGGGCGCACGGCGCTGCTCATCGCCATCGAGAACGAGAACCTGGAGATCGTGGAGCTGCTGCTCAGCTACAACGTGCACGTGGGCGACGCCCTGCTGCACGCCATCCGCCAAGCTGCTGCTCAACCACAAGAAGCCCAGTGGTGAGAAACAGGTACGGTCGTCCCAAAGACCCCGTCTTTCACACGGCTGTTGCCTCCGCCCAAAAAAGGGTGTACGATTGCTTGTCTTAACTACTATTGTGGTGCCATCTTGACTGACCGGTGCCCCAATTTTCCCCAATTACAAGCTGACACGAAGTCCGTATATTGACCCACCGACAGACTGAAAGACAGATAGATTGAGTACAGACTAACAAAGACAACAACACAGGCAACAGACAGAGAGACAGACCAACCAATTGTGCTTGCGCACAAATATGACAAGGTCATGCTGCAGTGAATATATGAACCGCTTGGATGACAAAGGTAATACCTTTATTGAATTTTTATATATATTAACTACATACCTGATCTGACCTATATCTTGATCTGGCCGGGTTGTACAGGTGTGATTGATTACACACTCAAAGGCAACTTTAGGTACATTGGTACAGTCTGATTTATATATATATATATATA